AAATGAAATAATTCAAGCAAATCAGATATTAATTTATAAGTTCGCTTGAAAGATAAGGACAGTAACAAAGTTATTACCTGGTGCACTCGGAGGAGTGATTGGTGTTTCATCAGCAACACTCACTTTTAAAAATTTAAACAAATAAGCATACATTTATTGCGCAAGATAAGTAAATTCAAATACTAACATTGGTGGTTTTGGGGAATAAATGGCGGGGCGTTTACAACCTCTGGAGAGATTGTCGAAAGGGTATTAGATGGTTTGAATACAGGAGAATTAACACTCAGCTTGGATTTAGCTCTGAATAATATCGAATTCAACCGTTAATGTAATAACAAATAACGAAAAGGTAACGTAAATTCAAGGATCGGTGTAGCTTACGTTTCAGGACTGTTTGGAGGAGACGTCGATTTGTTCTAATGTAGGAAAAAGGGATGTAGTTTAACAATTCTTGTACCAACGGTTGTAAATAAGTGCAATTTGATTCTATTCAAAATTTTTACTATAATGAATTATAATGAATAACATTTGGGAAAATCCGAGATTGCCACGATCTAACTGATACAATGAGAGGTTGGAAAAAACAGGTAGTAATAACTTACAATATCATGATTGAATTTGCATCCTTTCCCCTCGTATTTACAATAACCATGTATAATCAAATTTCGACAAGTCCGCGCTTTGGAATCCTGAGTTGAATCTATAATGGAAATTAGAAAAATTCATTAGACAAAGAAACGCGAACACGTACCTATAATTTAAGCAAAAGCGAAAATTTAAGCAAAAGACCAACATTTGGAAGGAACGTTCTTAGAGATTTCTTTTTCCGAAGTCGGTGCAACAATGGGAATAGCAGCCGAACCAGATTGAGTTGGATTTGAATATAAAGACATAGCAAACGAGTATCAGGTAAATATAAACACGACCAGATTTCGGGCTTTAAGAGCAAGTTTTGGCGAACGAAATTTGAAAATTGGATACGTAATAATTTTTATGTGCTATATACTTAGTTTTTACACTATTCGAATGTGATCACGAGATTTTAATAAATTACAGATCTCGATCACCGATACGCATTTTAACAGTAAACACTGAGGTATGTGCGTACGTATGAGGTTTTAATACGTAGAGATTATGCTTTATTAAACTTTGAATAACAAGGACTTAACCAAAAACGTTTATTCTTTTTTAAAGATCTGACTATTATGAAAACCTAAAGTTAGGACTACTTTATTATAACACATACGGGTAACACCAAGGGAAAACCAGACTTCGATCATATAAATTTTATCTGATCGAAGTCTGGTTTTTCCTTGGTGTTACCCACAGTCAAATACAATGTCAAAAAGCTTATATAAGAAAATTAGCAAACTTTTTTTTTTCACTTGGCGGTCTTGCCTATATTAAGAATCATAATATAAACTGATTTTGGGAGATACCCAAAGGCAGTGTATAAAATATATGTGCACATGTTTTTAAAAAGTTTCACATGTTTTTGGCTAGAAATGTGCACGTAATTCACATACTTTTAGGCTAAATAGTGCACCAAAATCATTAGTAAAATACAGAAGATGTGCATATAGAGCACATTGTATACATAATTTATTCAGATTTATCTATATAAATTTAATTATATAAAGGCCATATAGTGCACGAATTTTTAAAATTGTTCACATAAATTATGTGTACAATATGCACAAGATTCACATACTTTTGGGATCAGATTTTATACACTGCCCAAAGATTATGTTATAAATACTTAATATCTAATCTAAAAAATTTACAGTTTTTTTTAATTGTCTGGAACGAAGCGACAAACTCGTACTTCTATGCCCTTTGATGACCATTACGTTTTTGATATATTTATCAGTTATAGTAAAAATATCAAAAATGCAGTTTTGGTATTTTCCGAATGTAACGCTCCTGAAAAAATTGATCTACAAGACTTTTCAGAGGCTAAAAACATTAAATGAGCTCCAGACCTATCTGCTATAGGCCTGATTGGTCAATCACTTATAATCAAGCAAAAAATGAAAATTAAGACTGTCTCTATCTTCAGTAAAGCCCCAATGCTTACTATGTGAAAGAATCCAAAAAGATCTACAACCTAAAGATATTTTGCTTAGAAGATAAAATTTCTATATATATTATAATTATACTATATATAATTACTAAATGGTCAAATATATTTGACTTAATAAAAAAAAAAACTAACAAGCAAACTTCTTTTTTAAAAATAAAGAATTTTTAATGTATAAAAATATAATTATAAGAAATAAAAATATTTGAAAATTTTAGAAATTACAATAAACTTTATATAGTTTAATAATTATAATACTATAAATCAGTATTGTATGTTTTGACTATCTAAAAGCTTTTTTAGTACTGTTCAATATCCAAGTATCCAAGTGTCCACAAGTGTTCAGAGCATGTTCAAGCTTTAATAATTAATTAATTTGTTTAAAAAATATATAAGGTCATACAAACTTAATAAATTGGTTCTTATAGCCTGATCAGATCAAATTTCACAAAATTCTTAAAAAAATTTTTGACTATATTTACTATCTGGGTAAAGTTTTTTTAGAAATCTATAAAAATTTTTATATGTTTTTTTATATATAAAATTTTTGAAAAATAAAATTAAAAGCCGGGTTGTCAGGTTATTTTTTAAATTTTATGTTATGAGAATCAAAAAATTAACTTTATATAGCCTAATTATATGGAGAGGGGTCAGTAGAAAAGAGACAAATAGGGTAAATCAAATTTTGAGATAATTAGATTTTTGTGTTTTGTTACACAAATTTTTGCCAAATTTGAACTAAATCCCAAACAAAGTTTAATATGTTCTGATCTTTATGATCAATGTATCAATAGAAAAGAGACAAATTTATCTAATAGATTTGTCCTATTTCTATTGACCTGCACTTTTAAGTTTATTTATTGTCTAACAGACTAACAAACAAGTAATATTGTTAATAGTAACATGTTATTTATTCAGAGCCATATTATCTTAAGAAAAACTATATGTGATTTTTAGTTGTTGAAAGCATGTTAGCCACTAATCTAAAATCATCTTAGGGCAACTAGTAAGCAAGAGTTTCTGGTCAAAAGAGATGTTTGAATTGGTGATTGGTTTAACGTAATCTATACTATTTGAGACTAAATTTTAACCTAAATATTCTTTACTACTTCGGCAATATTGATCAATTTTAGAGTAGTATCTTATAATACTACTGTAAATATATATATATATTATACCTCAGATGCATTCTTGTGTCAGATAATACCCAGTCTGAGTTGGGATTAGGGTTAGAGTGAAAATCACAGGTAATTTAGGCCAATTGTTGCAGATCATTTAATGCTGGTCATCTGGTAGTCATCTGACATGCGTTAGCTGCAATCTAATGCAAAGATCTATCTGAGGCACAACATATACAAGATCTTCCAAAATAGTAGATCTGCCATGAATTAGACCTGGCTGTAATCCACAGAACTCTATTAATTAAATATAGTTTTTTTTTAAATAGAAATATCATTATGGTACTATAGCATTGTAGTGCTACTCTATATGTAAATATAAAATTAGTATAATATGTAAATTAAAACAATCTAATATTTACAAAAAATAAAACTTTTAATTAGGTTTAGATTAAAGTTGGGGTTAAGGTTAGACAAGACATAGCTTAAACTAAAATTTTGCAAGAAATTTTTTTTATTAGAACACAAAAGATTGTTTTTTAATCAAAATTTTGAGATATAAATAATTTTTTAAAAATTCATTATTTTTGTTATACAAAAAGGTGATCTGCATATTACACCTGATCTTAAATTTTAATTGGTCACAACACTCTAGCACTATAATGCTATAGCACTATAAATTAAATCTCTTTTTAAATAACTAAACTACCTATTACATCAGCAAAATATATAAATGTAATATTACATAAGATATTATGGCCTATACTATTGTACAAAAATTACGATTGATGCACAATATTGTGCAATAATCAATTACAAAATATTACACAAAAATATTATGTAATATTACAAATATATTTCAAAACAATTTGAAATATTTTGAAATAATTCGAAACAATTCGAAATAATTCAAAACAATTTAAAATAATTTGAAACAATTTAAAATAATTCGAAACAATTCAAAATAACTCAAAACAATTCAAAATAATTTGAGTTTATTAAAACAAAAATAACAATTTTTATAAAATAAATTAAGGGTTTTATAATTTATCACTATAGCAATATATCGCTATCTGGGTCTAAGTCAAATCAAAATCACAAAAATCAAAATTCTGAAAATTAAAATTCTGAATCTTAAATGTCATGCCGTGTGATGTTAAGGTTTTAATATTCAAGCCCGCCTATGATTAATAATATAGATTACCTATAGATTACTAATCACAATCAGGGTTTGAACATTGAAACCCCGATATCACGCGTTATGACAAATAAGTCTCAGAAGGGTAGCAATACATTGCTATAGTGATAAATTATAAAATCCATAAATTAAATATTAATTTAAAAATATTTTGAAACAATTTGAAATATATCAAAATAATTTGAATTAATTCAAATTAATTCAAATTAATTCAAATTAATCCAAATTTATTAATCATTTATTATATAAAATAAATAATTTCAATTTTATTAAAAGGCTATTATTTTATAGTGACCCATGATCGACCAATCAAAATCGATCACGTGGATTGCATAATGATTTAAATAATTAAAGTATTTTTTATTAATTAAAAAAAAAATTACATAACTATTATGCAACAAACGTTGTTGTATAACAAACAAAAAAAAATCTATAATGACTATTCTACCCATAACAAAAATCTAACACAAATATCCAGCAACACAAAATTTAGCAAAATTCGACAAAGACCACCACAAACACCGAAGTTTTAATACCAAAAGCAACGATGACACCAACAATGAAGGCTCCAACACTAAAAAAAGACAGTACCAATGACAAAAGCTCCAATACAACAATGACAACACCAACAACAAAGGCTCCAACACTAAAAAGACAGCACCAATAACGAAAGCTCTAATACAAAAACAATGGCACCAATGATGAAAGCTTTAATATCAAAAAAAAACAGCACCAGCAAAAAAATCATATATAAAAAAGAAGTATAAGTAGGTATTAGAAAAAAAAAAAAAAGGAAAAAA